CCTGATTAGCTATGATAAAAACCTGCTAAACAAACGGGAATTCACTTAATTACTTTTATGCCTTAAACCACAAAGCTTTATGACGACAAAACCGTCATCTGAAAGAAGGCATATCGAATATATCATAAGAATGTCAACAGCAAGGACTTATTACTGTCTAGGTCAATGGTGTCATTACTAGCCTTGTGGGGAGAGGTCTATGAAATTTTAAATGGTACCAACAATGGTCAAGGGGTGATTGTGGGTCAGTTGCCGAATATGTACGGGCAAATGATCGGCATAAATATTTTAAATTTGATAATTAGTTGCTTATTAGCATAAAGCTATGTTGCTTATCATGCATCGTTGACCTCGCTATTAAATTTCAAGAATCCAAAACCAAATGCTAGATGAATGCCATACTCCATATGCCAAATAACCATTCTTGGAGCAAGTGTCTATCTAAAACGAGAGAAATTACTGTGCTACTAGAAAAGAGTTGCTCGCCATAATTAAAACCGTGGAGTTCCTATTATCATGTAGTAAGGAAGATACCATATAAAATAAAAAATATAATAAAAAATACACAAAAATTATTTAATAGTATATTAAAAAATATTTCTTTTTCTAAATATATAAACAAATTTCATGCAAGAAGTGCAATATAAAAACATAAAATGCAGGAACCCAACACAGCCAAAAAATAACAAGAATACAAAACTTCCTCTGAAGATCATTGTTATATACAAGCTGTGTGCAAAGTTTAAAAGAAGATATTATTCTTTAGCTCCAGTGCATTGAAAAATTGAAAGTGGCTCAAATAACTGGTGAACTGCGATGTAGCTGATCATGGTTTGGTTTATTTAATTATGGCAAAGCACACTAGGGCTATCTGCCTCTGCCTAAGGGGAGGGATGCCTTCGTGGAGGACTTTCTAAGGGAAAATGGCTCGTATAAACGTTACATATGGGGAAAACCACGAAAACGCCCATGCAGCCAGCCCGTTCGTGGTATTCGAACCTCGGACCGAACTACCAGTGTTCAGCGACTTTACCGTTCGGCCACTGGTGGGCTGTATCTGATAAAGATGAATACTCTTGAACGAAGACATTTAGAATTAAGCAATTTTATGCCAAATATTTAAAAATTTGCTTCAGTACCTCACGTGAAGCTATTACTTTAATTAAAATCGAACTCGTTTATGTGCAATTATTTGTACTTTTACCATGCTGTAGGCAGTATATTATAGGAAAAAAAGTAAGGTGCTGATGAAGAAAATCTTCTTTTAAACGGCGTCGAAGCAAGAAAATCGCCGAGAATCCGGAATCTAAATTCATAAGCCCCCAGCCAGTTTGATCTCGGGTTTTAAGGGGCTCCAAACTCCGTCTGTAATAAATTACAACCTTGTTATTTTCTAAGGAAAATAAAGAATGTAGGCGTATGCTTGAATCGTAGAATTCCTTACCTGAGCTATGTCAAATGTAATACATTATTAATGGTGAAGATGGAACTTCTGAAATTCTGAGTGTAAAATTAAATGATTCTTCTACCACTAGTAAAGGTTTGGAGGGATTATTGATCGGAAATTCGCTTGTGATCTTATCAAAGGAAAATGTGTGCCAGTTAGAGCAGCCAATGTAAGTGACAGGCCTCATATTTTGAGAAAAAGAGAAGAAATTTCTTCATCTGCTTCTCTACAAGTACTGTTCTGAAATCTCTAAAGAAACCACATATTAGCCAATGTCTGAGTATTTAAAAGATGTAATTCCCTTATGTTATTAACTCTGATAAAGCGCAAACAGCAAATTTTTTATACGGGAATTTAAAGAGGTTTTAAGGTTCATCCGCTGTGTGGATGTTACAAAAGTGATGCAACATCAAATAAAGACAGAAAGTTACACGCCTGTTCAACAGCAACTATTTCGATGTTTTTTTTTCACTAAAAAAGGAGAAGTTTTGAAACATCTAAGAGAAATGCAAGTAAGACATTATAAAGTTTGGTATGCTCTAGAATATCAATTAGTGTCCAAACTAAGAAGAACAGTAAGCACACTTAATGCTTACAAATCAGCTAACCACTTGTGGCTATTTAAGTAAAGTAACAGTCAAATGTAAAGTTTAAATTCAAGGAACCTAGTAGCCAAATGCTAGACAAATCAGTTTAGCGCTAAGTTGGCTGACAAATCTTATCAGCAATTATAATGCAACTCCGAAGACTACAAAGTAGGAGCCGAGTAATATGGCCTAGAAAGGCAGAACACGCTCTATCTTAAAATCTAAAAATCTCAGTTTAAATACACGCGAACTAATTTTCATTCTGGCGTCGAAATGAGAGGAATAAATGACAATAAAGGTCTAAAACATAAAATAACTGATTAATTAACATAAAGGAGCCCCATAACATTTTTGAACACTTGAAGCATCATTATCACCTATAATTATTACACAAAAAAGGAAAACTCCATTTATTTTGTGTGGACTGCAGATGTTTAAATGACATTCTAAAAAGATAATTATGCTTTATCTAGGATCGACGAAACGATTTTAATCCTACCTTTCGTGATGTGCAACAGTGCAGCAGCATTCTGATTGAGACAGATTTAAAAGAACTACTATATGGAATCTCAGGTGTTTTGAAGATCATGCTATTTTATAATATAATAGTCAGATGTACGTCTGAGGAACATCTGGAAAGTGTCAGGAAGGTATACACAGATGAAGAGAAGCTAAATTAAGTTTGACTCGTTTGAAATGCAATTACATTATTAGGTGTTTAAACTTCTTCACATCATCTGGCAAAATGTATGAAAATATATCCTGGCAAATCTCGTATTTGATGTGGCCTTTTGTTCCGAGGACTACTTTAAGCTCACAAAACGCTTTTTCATTAATTAAAGAAAACAAAAAAGTTTTTACTGGCTCTTACGATGAATATGGAAAAATGCTGAAACATGTATTCTAGTTAAAATGTCTGTATTGGCGTATTTCCACTCTGAATAAGACTTTATTCCCGATACAGACCTCAGTTGCATTTCCTTCTCAAGAAGCACGCGATCAAAAAAGCTAAATTCGTTGTTTCAGTTAAAGCCTTTAAAAGTCTGAATATGATTACAATATTAACAGGAGAGATTTACTGGCTACTATAAAGTTAGCAAAACATTTTCATGAAAATCTCTACGGCTGCACATTTATGTTGTGTAACCAACACAATGTGTCATGCCGCATTGTGTTGGTTTTTCCATTTGAAAATTCCAGTTGGTCAAGTAGCCAGATGATAACAGCAGCTACAAAATACAGTATGAAATTGTATGTTTGCAAAAGATATTAAATCTTGATTGAAAACTGGGATATTACATTTAAAAAACTAATTGAGAAAATGAATGTTCTTTTGAAAATTTATACAAAAAGCGATCTTTTATGCAATAACCATTTAATGATCTCAAATTTTGGATTAAAAAGATTCTCTTTAGAAAAATAATTGAATTATGAAGAAAGTGAGTAAGATACCACCTGTACTTGGACATGAGTAACAAATAAAACGCCATTAAAATGTTGAAGCGAATAATTTCCTCTTTTTTAAGTAATTACTATTTTAGTACTTGATAAGTAATTATTTACCACGTTGAACACAGCTTAGTAAATTAGTTCACTACATACGGATATTCTCTACTGTTTTATTTACGGCAACATAAAATTTCCACATGATGTTGGTTAGTTCTCAAGATGCATTACAATCAGCTTTTTGTTCTTTTTGTTGCATTGCATATAGTTTTGGGAGTTTACAAAAGCATTTAGCTTTGGCTGTGAAAAGTCTAAAATAATACATTGCTACTGCACGTACGTGATTACCCGCCCTTTATTTTCGTAACCACTGGTCGTAGACGGATACTTTAAGTTACAAAAATATTTTTAATGATCCAAATATTCATGATGTGGCATTTATAAATTTAAAGAGATCATTTTTGCAGAAGTTGCAAAATTTAGCTTTTCTACGTTCCCCATTTATTTAGGATAATATTATATATTTTATATTTTTTAATAATTTCAATATTATATAATTTTAATATTACATATTTTTAACATATAATTTCTAATAATATACTTTTAATATTATATATACATATTTTATATTTTTAATATTATTATGTTTAGGGAAAATTATGTACTCGTTATGAAAAATCAAATACAAAAAATGTGATTCCCGCACAACAAAAACTGACCGAGATATTTTGTATTAAAATTGAAAATCATATTCAAAGGCTATAACGAACTGAAGAGTGAAATATTTGCATCTGTAAGTAAATAAAATAAAATATGAGTTTAGAAAAAAGGTTTTAGATATTAAGAGATTAAGTGAGGAGCATTTCTATGAATAATTTATTTTTAATGGATATCTTTTTCACAGAATCTTCTAGAATTATTGATTTAGAAAGCGCTGGCGGGCATTTAATTAATTAGTAATATTTTTTGAATTAATCAAAAATGAAAGATATTGGTAGTTTTATAAATTTTTGTATGGCGATCATATTCAAATAATAAAACTAATAATTCTAAATTAATAACGGATTTTCGACTTCGAAAGCTTATAACTTTTTGTGCTTTGTTTTTTATAACGAATAAAATATTTCCCTAAATATAGTATAGGGACCTGGGAGCGTATAGAATTTGGGGTTCGTAATTTTAAGAAACTGACTTTTTGAAAGTTTAAAATGTCACAGCATGAACATTTGTGAAATTGAAAACATTTCGTGATTGGAAGTATATGTCCATAACCCACGGTTGCTAAACTAAAGACCGGATGAAAACTTTTGTAGACAATGCGTATATTAACACATTCAGCAACAAAGAAATTGAATGGAAATGTTGCTTAAGAACTATTCAACTATTTCACCTCGCTTATCAAACGACGCTTACATTTAACTGCAGAAAAGTATTTCTTGGCAAAGAAATCAGGAATGTTGCACAATAGCAACAACTGTGAATATGGTTAACTTGAAAGTAATAAAACAGAACAAACCAAAGAGAGTAAAATGTTATGTATAGGAGTTAGGAATACAAAATATGGAAATGTACAAAGCATGTACAGTAAAAAAATTGAAACTAATTTCTAAATTTCCTGTCATTCAGGTTTCATAGGTTCTGTGGCTTCTAAATTGTCTTCCGATTCATTTTCTTCGTCACCTGTTCCCCACGGTTGAGGGTCTGATGTTCCGAAAGCTAAGTATATAGCCGTAGTTAACACGACGACACCTATCGTGCTATAATAAACGTATCTCCACTGAGCCATAGACCGCTGTTGAGAGAAAGCATATATAAATAACTATTTCGCAATGGTTAAAACAATATATCATACTAATTCAGAAGTCAAACCACAAAAATCAGCGTTATATTTTCAAAATTTTTACAGGACTAAGTTTTTTCAGCTGAGGATGGTGGTTCGGTAAAACCATCGAAATTAGTCCAGTAAAAATTTTGAAAATATAACGCTGATTTTTTGTTGTTTGACTTCTGAATTAGTATTTATTCGGCATGTTATTGTGTCTTAACAATCTATCATTTTTGAAAACTTGCTGGAATAAGAAAATGCATTCAGCTATTTTAAAAACGTTACATATTATATCTAATTCTTGTCAACATAAGTTGATGACAAATAACGCTATATTGAATATTTATTTTCAAAATCCGTTCTCAAAATATTTTCTACAAATATCTAAATCATAACATTTATGTTACAAAATCAACCATCTTTTAATTATTTTAGTGTGCAAAAGAAAAGAAAATTATGACAGTTAATCCCTGTCGAATACAGAGGTTACGTTATTAATACATTGCGCTCACGGCAAAATCGCTTTTCGCAAAGTTACCTTTTTTCATGGAAAAAATGTGTTAGATATACTCGTATTTCTTCCATATCTGAGAATTCTTCGCTTTCAATTACTTTTGCAATTTATTGGATTCCTTTCGCTTCATTTTTAATCATTAGCAATCTTAGAAAATTGTTGGCAACTTCTGGCCATAGCTGAAGCGAGCAAGCATACAAAGATTTCTTGTAAAGAGTACTTTGCCATGGTAACGCGGCCGGTGCTCTGCAGCGTACCCCATATGAATGAATTCTAGCATTGGAAAAAAATAATTGCAAATAGTTAAGATAACGCGTACGCGTAAAATCGCATTTCGCACATCGGTTTTCTGTCCAAAATCACAGGGGTTTTCTGTGCAATAGTTATTTAATTAATTATTTCTAAGTGAAGAACCTCTAAGCATAATAATGTTAGTACATGTTATAACAATGAAATACTGCATGCTTATGTTTGCTCAAGGAATTATTTTTCCAAGAGTAAATCGCTCACTAAGATGATTGTACGCTTGAGAAAGTATATATTTAAAATAACTTACTATCGCAAAAACATCGTGTTTAAGTTAGACTTGAAGAGAAATCATGAAAATATTCATGCAACAGACCGTTTCGGCCGACAGCATTTCGGCCGACCGTTCTTGGAGGCAGTTCCCAAGGTAAATAATCTTCATGTACCTTGCAGTAATCATATACTATATTTAAATTAATGCATATTGCTTACGTGTGTACTCCCATCTCGCTTCTCCTATCGCCAAACTTTTGAAGACCTCTTTCGGCTCGGCAGTATTTTATATTACACATATTTTTATATTAAACATTCTCCGGGATTCCAGCCCGGCCCCAAAGATATGGCAGTCAGCATTGGTTATTGTAATCTGACAGGACAAGAAGAAATGGGTGGGTCACTAAAACTTTATTAAACATTTTATAACCCCATCGCACTTTGTGTACTCAATTTTGATGGAGGGGCACGGATGTGAATGTCTCCCGCCCAATTTTCCCTAACACCACTCTGTCGAGACTTGCAGCTGTCCGTGTATTTTAAGTGCTTCCATGCCGCATAAGCACGTGCACTTATAATATTCCATGGTATTCTACAGTATTCGAACCTTGGCACAGCAATACGGCAGCCACCATCGCTAATCATTATGCCTACCTAAAGTATGTAAAGTAGTAAAAGCTGATTTGTGTGAATGTCATCCAAAGCTTCGGCAGTCGAAATTAGGCCTTTATTTTACTTCGACGTGCATATACCTATACTAAACCATAAGCACACGTGAAAGGTTTTTCCATATATTGTGATTTCATGAAAACATGAAATTTTTCTTCGGTATCTTCGGTGATTATCTGATATGCATAACTTCAATTTTTACTCTGCTTTATATTTTGTTGATACAACTATTTTCACTCGGAAACTATATTTACATAATCTTTTAACTATATATCAATTTCAGGAGTGATTTCCAAAATGACGATTGTATTGAAAATGTTAAATCTTTGCTTGAAAATTTAAATAGGAAATCGTTTTCATAAAGTGTGAACGACCTTCTGTGTAACCTAGAGTATCCTTAAATTTCTAGGGCAACAGGAATATCGCTAACTTCATTAATCTTAATATTAGTTTTATTGTCAACCAAACGTGTATGAACTGCGCTTATCAAATTATTTTAATTTCAGTTTTAATTATACATGTATGAATTTTATCAAATAATCTTAGTTTTATTGTCGTTCAAATATACATGAGCTATGGTTGTCAAACTGTAGAGCTTCGATAAGTCAAACAGAACCTTAAACTGTAGAATTCGAAATTATTTATGTTTCCTTATAAAGAGAATTTTTTTAACGTCATAACTATCATATTGCTCCGTGTTGCGTAAGCTTAGTTCTTAATCACTTTTTCAATCAGCATGAGTTTTCCTCTGAAAGAAATAAAATAATTAATGAGGATTAACTTTTACCGAGAAATTTAAGCATTTATAACGTACTTCATACTTTGTTGACCATCCAACTAATGCTGGAATGACAAAAAATGGTATGACACCAACTATGCTTAATATTCCAGATACTGTGCCTGCAATAAAAAGGGTCATTTTAGTATTATATTGGCGATATGTAACTTTTTCAGATCTATATAGTCGGTAATGCTCATACCTACAAATTTATTAATACCTACAAGTTTATTAAATATTTAATAATAATTTTAAACCTACAAATATTAAATTCATATTTAATTAATTTAAGTTTTTTAATATTAAGTCATATGTATCTTCAAAAGAGAGAACAGGTCAAAGAATGCATGCATTTTGTTTAGCCATTTAAATATAGAAAAGAGAACTTACATTTCACTTACGTATTTTAAAAATATATGCTGGAAAAAACAAGCAATAATCCATTCTTATGAATTCGCTCTGTATACGTATCAGGTAAAGCAAGCTCGCTATTCTGTGAATATTGATCAGATACCATATTTATAATATGATGCACAAACACTAAACGATAATGTATCTTTAAATCTTTGGAAATGTATATTTCACCGACTTAAATATTTTGAATATTACTTAGTCTTTTCTTCGATTATTTTAGTATTTGATATACGAAATTCAGAAATCATAGCTTTGAGTTCAGAATCAATAATCAGGAATAGTAGTTTTTGAATTTGTAAAATGTTTTGTTATTTGTACAGAGAAATTTAATTTTAATAATATTATTAGCATAGAAACAATGCTTCTGATAAACTGATTTCCTTTTATCATAACGGCAAAATTTTAACGAATTGTACAGTGTATGTTATTAAGGGAGGAATTTTAATAAATGCTACATCTGTAACTGAAATGTCTTCTTGATTTAAAATAAAATAATTATTTATGAGGATAGTCCAAAAAAAGGATGGAACTTTTTAAATTACGCGCGAAAGTTTACACTTTTTAGCGGCATATCTTGGTAACATATCGCCTTTGACCAAGCTCCGAAATATACGCTAAATTGAGAACCATTGAGAAACTACCATTCGAGATAGGTCATGTATGAGCTTCTCGTCCGAGGAATGAAAAAGCAAAAATGAAAGAGGTTGAAAGAATAATCCGTCAGTGTGGAATTTTAAGTAAAACTGGGGAAACCTTTCATAGAAACATTCCAAATGCTTTACCAAAAGCATAGAAAGATTGCTGCAAGAGCCAAACACAGTACTTTGATTAGTGTCAATGTTTAGGGAAGCCAGAAATTCGGTTGCCGAAGTTCCCCAAAACTGGATGATCTTCCACGTCGACATACTATGAATTAGTGCATTTTTACCAATTAGTCAGAGAGTAAACAAGAGTAATTCTCTATTAATGAGACAATTATAACATGATTAAGAGATTCCGTATGTAGAAGAGATCTCAGCAGTGGTGCATGCTGCATCATGACAATTCTTCAGCTCACATATCGCTTCTTGTTACCAGTCATCTGACAAAACATCACGCTTCTGTTGTTCTTCACCATTATATTCTCTGGACTTGGTCAGGCAGCCTTTTCTCTCTTTCCCAAACATAAAACTACTCTGAAGGACGTTCGTTTACAGTCCATCGACGAAATTCAGGAAACTACGACGACAATACTGCACACCCTCGATAAAAGTAATTTCCAGCAGGCGAAGAAAGGATGGCAACGGTGCATTCATACCAGAGGAAAGTATTTTGAAGGAAACAGTGCTTGGAAATTTGTATAATTAGCAATAAAGGAAGAACAGTAAAAATTCCTCTTTTTTTAACAGTATTTGTAATATTACTAAAGTGACAATTTTTGTATAAAATCAAATATTTCGAAGAATAAGACGAAAGGCAGCTTGTTTGTTAATGCGGGGATGAAAAGAAAGAAAGGAAAACATAATTAATACACAACTGCTTGAAAACGAATTGGAAACAAAAATGAAATTTCATATACAGTGAAGCTTCGATTCACGCATGTAGTTCATTCTTGAAGGTTGCTCTTCATCCGAAATATTTATAAATTGAAACTATTTTCTCTACATGAATTACTGTATAATGGATTAATTTTTCCTTGATTCCATATAATTTCTTTCTCTGCGGCATTACATTTGAGTTTCACTAACCAAATCAATTTTTAGTTTACATCTTTTCTACTGCCTCATTTCTCCACAGGATTGTTCATTTCAGAAATTAAGTTGATTTCAATAGCAAGCAGTTTAATACAGGAATAGCTTGTAAATGTACGAGAGTTTGGATTAACCCCGGCTGCTTGTCGGTTCAGCTTGCCACTTGCTGAATAGCAGGTGTTCCGTGGGAGAGTAAAATTGGTAATTTAATTGGACCTAATTGGTAATTTCAGATTTAAAGCAGCTGTTCGTAATCGTCCATAAACTTGTAGCGTCTGGTAGAAGGTAATCAGGTAGTGCACTTAAAAGAAGATTAAAGGAAAATTTTGTGTTCACCCCAGATCCAGGAGACTCGTAACTTTGTGTTGTAATATTTTTAAGTCAACGCTCACTAGCAGAGCTGGGAGAACAGTGAGGCAGGTGAGACTTTTGGAATTGGAAAGGGCGCCAAATCAGCGACATAAATTTAGTAATTCATTTCGAAAAAAAAAAAAAAAAAATTATGATTGTTAAATTTTAATTTTGGAAGAACATCAAGAAGCATAAAAAACTTTATTGTAAAAAATCCAGCTGAATAAAAGAAGCAGAATTAATAAAATTAATTTATTTTAGAAAATGCTGAGGTTTTTAATGCGAGCAAAAGTTCGAGTCGATCCAACTACAAATATTTGCTTGACTGAATAACAAACATTCAGATTTAGTTTTCACTTTAAACATTGTTAGTTTTTCGATGATGTGAGTTATCCATATCTAGTTTACTTTAGAGCTTAAAAACCGATAGCGATTTTAGTATCGTGTCGTGACAAGAGATAAATCAAGTAAATCTGTCTTGCTTACCTGTAAGATTTGGTGCAATATCAACTCCCGCCATGCAAACACCAAATGTTATGAAATCACCTAGAAGACCTCCTATTGTGAAAAATACTGTGTTTAGAAGAGGATCGCATCCGGCCAAAAGAATGGCGATGAAACCCATACATGAAAATATGGAATCTAAGAAAAAAAAATGGTCAGGTATAAAAGGAAAATTTCGACAGGTTTAAAAAAAAATATTAGAAATAATGGTTGGAAGAAATAATTACTTTATTAGCTCGAATGAAAGTCTTGCAAACACACGAATCTTTTTTAAAGGCTGATTTACAATAAAATAATTCGTAGTATATGAGACGGCTTCATAGCTGACAAGATGCTGACCCCCGAAAATATCGTGGCAAAATATCGAGGACGGAAACATGTCGTATAAAACATCGCGGGAGAATAGAAAACAAGAAGAAAACATCGCAATCCTGGAACATAGTAGAAGAAAATTAAGCGGCACAAAACTTCGCACTTTTGAAACATTGTCGTACAAAATATCGTGGTGAAACATAAAGCACCTACAAATCACAACATGAAGACAACATTGTAAATATGTATTTTCCGAGAGAAAAGAACTAAGTGAGATTCCGCGTAATGCATTTGTTAGCACAAGAAGACATAACTAATATTTTGCCTCTATATTTCATATTTCTGCATTTTTGTATTAACTAATAATATTTTACTACAAACACAAGAAGGATACCCAAGCATTCAAAATCTGGAATTTAGTAAAACTTTACGTTAAGTGTAGTAGTTAAATAGAATTTTAAACTTATTTATCTTCTACTTTTTGATTTTTTTACAATATATTTTTCTTAAAAATCTATTATGACTTAATAGTCAATCCTAGTTAACATCAACGCGATCAGAATTACGGGTAGAAAGCGTTAACCAATCAGAAGAGAATTCAGAGGCGGTATTTCCCAGACGAACGGAGACCACGCGTGATGACTTAACTTCAACATTTCGCTCCTTGCCGCGTCAGTTTCAAGCATCTCCTTTCAAATATCCAGTTTATACCATTGTTTGTAAATGGTTACACTTTCAAAAATTCTTCTTGAGGAAAATAAAAAGTTAAAAGGAGTAATCTTAATAAAAATTTCAGGTAATCATTAAAAATGCATATGTTAATAGAATATCTTAATAAATTATTTAAATCTCAAGTTTATTAGCAGTAATAAACCTTAATTATCAACCATAAATGATATATGGTGGAAAATTTTTATAGAAAAATCTAAAGCAATAAATTGTTGCGAGAAAATAGTGATGGATTTGGAAATTCCAGATTTTCAATTTTTCTTAAAATCTAGCTACATCAGTTTAAGGTTCCTCCTTTTTCCTAATGGATAAAACGTTGTCTTCCAGTGTTAAAGAATGTGGATTTAAGCACCACCAGGGCTGGTATTGTAATGAAGTTGGTATTTTGAAAAAAAAAAAAAAAATTACAGAAAAATTTACCTCTACTTTCAGAGTAGCAAAACGCTTCTTCAGATTCATGAAGGTGAAGTCTGAAAACCGTGTTCAGATTGCAAGACACCTTAGTGCGGAGGTAATACACTCGGTCGAAAACTTAGAAGGTACTATGGACTTGTATTGGGCGTTTCGGCTTTGCTTTTCTCACCTTTGAAGATGGTGTAAATACACCAATTTTTAAAATTTTTTTTGTGGTGTGTGTGTGCACAAGAAGCTTGCATTTATTTTTCATTGCCTATAAACTATAAACATAATTTTCGCCTTCCAGTCGGCACTGTGCGCATTAGCCTTCTTTCAACAACGAGCCTTAGGCACAGTTCAGAAGATGATCTGGATGCTATTATCTGATTCTGTTTCCGCTGCCGCTAGCCTAGCAAATCGATACTGATATTAGCATAAAGTTGCTGCTTTACCTAATTAGATTTAGTGAGTTCTTAAATTTAAACGAGTGGTGACGAGTAAACCATTTGTTAAAAAAAAATTGAGAAAACTATTATTTATATGGGGAAGCTCGCTAGTATGCAGCTGATTTTATGAAATACTTCTAAGCATTTTAATGGCTTCGTATTTGTTTTTCTGAACATGCATGACCACTTTTCAGTCAAACATAAACTTAGCCAGAGGTTTAACATTGATGATAATTTTTAATTTAAAGAAAGAACTTTTGCACGAAAATTAGCAAATTTACTAATTGTGGAATTCGTTTTTCAACAGAGGAAAAGAAGTATTATATAAAATGCAGTTACTTCAATGACTTTTAGATAAAAGTGACTTTATAAAATAAAATTTTAAATAGTATATCTTCATTAACATGTGAACGACTAATTGAAGGAACTACAGTTACTTTCAGGTAAATAAAATGTACTAAGGCAGAAACTAAAACATTTTTCAAACATTTCTGTTTATTAAGTTGAAAATAATTGATTTCTTTTTCAAGTGTGGTATTTAGTTTAGTAATGCTATAAATCCTGCATATATTAAAACAAAATATAATTTTTATTCCATTATTAAACCAATGATATTAAGGGAAGTTCATACACATCATGCAAAAAATTTTCTGGTAATATTGCCCATGAAAACTTCACTCTCCAAAATCGAATCATAAAATTGCGAATTTTTAATTATCATTTAACAAAAGTCATAAATAAAGTAAATTAGATATTTACAACGATTTTTTTCTGGGATATCCTATTTTTGCTGCGGTCATCTCCCGTTGCATTCCACTTCTGTTACATAAAGCAAGAAGTAAAATAAGTTTTAATCTAGCAGAGATTAGATCCATTTTAACTAAAAAATGTAACCGTAAAAAGTCAAAATACCGCACAAAAATTTACATTTTCCCCCAGGTTTCCGATCGAGGAGCCATCTAGTGTGCGCATATGACAACTTTTGAAACGAAAGTTTCCTCGCTGGTGTGAACGGACCTACTTAGAGAGCTTTTTTTTCGCGTTTCCGCTTTTCTCGCCACCGGACCAGCGTTAACGTAGCTTCAGCAACATAAGTTTAAAATTTTTTTAAGTTCTGTACGCAGAATTAATTTTTACTAATTTTCACATTTTGATCACTTTAAGTTTTCCTTTCTTTTTCATTTGAACTTTATTAGTTAGTACAAAACTAAGAAATACAGAGGGTAAAATATATGTCGTTTCTTCTTGCGCTCACAAATCATTATGCGAACATGCATTTAAAACTTTTAAACTCTGAAAACATATCTACAATGCTATCAGGATTTTCAGGTAGGGCTTTATGTTTTACAGTGGTATTTTATACGACAATGTTTTTAAAACTGCGAAGTTTTTTCAGCCGCTTAATTTTCTATGACCATGTTCTACACTAGCATGTACCATGTTTTAGAACTGGTACATAATAAAGTATGTAAGAATGAAATGTAGAATGAAAGAAAGCAAGGTGTTTTCTCCTTGCTTTCTTTCATTCTACAATACATACTTTATTCGACATTTTCTTTTAGCATTGTTTTCTTCACAATGTTTCGGTCCACGACGTTTTCACCTGCAACCAGCGTAATACATTCAAAATATCACGCCTTCATAAATGACGTGTTATACTGAAGGTGTTTAACAAAAAAGGGTACTGAAAAATTTAAATATACATTTTAAAATAAAACAAAGCAAATACCTTTACTTTAAAAATAAGGGTTAAGTTATAAGGTATTCCCCCCTCTTTTTCGCATGATTTCATGGTGTAACCGGAAGCACGCTCGATGCATATTCAGGAGGTACGAAGCTTGAATCCCGGCGAAGGCACTGCGGATTTTTTCAGTTTCCAGCATCAGTGTAAGTTAATAACTCTACGAAGTAATAAATTATTTCCTTTTTTAAATGCTGTGCTGTTCATTAAACATTGGTGTGTGTGTGGGTAAAAAGGAACTCTACACTTTCTTATGCTGCTTAACTGGGGATAATCACATACCCCCCCCCCATAAATTGCTCTCCTGGCATTCCAAAGGTTTCAAATTAAAGACAAACGTCAGTATCCTAAATTTCCAAAAATTATGCAACAATTTTCTTACTTCGACCTAGATCTTTGCAAATTTAATTTCCTCATGCTCCATAAATGTAAATCAACTTTTACATCCTGTGAATATGTTCAAAAGAATTCCACTTGTGAACTTTACAAACTGTAATAACCTGTTTCAGCATACTTTATTAAGTACCTTTTCTTAAAATTGTGTCGATTTCTTGTCAAAATTATTTTCCGTATTCCGCATTTTTGCATTCTCAAATCCCAGAGCTCTCAGATTCTTACTCATCGTGTTTTTTTTATGTTATTCTCAATCGATTTGACCCCGTCAACACCTTCCTTGGTATTGTTACGAAATGGCTAGCTGTGGCAAGATAGCTTCCTCTCAAAGTAGGGTTGGGGTTGCCAAAAAGTGACAAGGAAAGGTAAGGTTTCCAGATTCAGCACAAAATCGCTCGTTTGGTGACATTTGGCGACAAAATTAGCTATCTGCCACAGACGGAGCGAGAACATTTTACAACGAATTCTTACAAGTTTTCAACATAATATTCTCGAAGGCAGGTCAAAAGCTGTATGTACTCTGCTTGTACGTGGAGTAGGAGTGTATCTTGAGAGAGTAGTGTCTAGAGTATGTTGAGTTCAATAGTGGTGTATACTGGTTTGGGTTCAGAGATTAGCTTGAGAGCAACCGAACCGAGTCAGGAGCTATATTTGAGTGCTTTGCCATGATGCTGTGCTGTCTTCACCGTTGTAGCCTGAAGGCTGTAATGATGATTGTTTCAGTTTTCCGTTGCTTTACGACGACTGGTAACGTGTCTTTGGAACTTTCCTGTATAGGACTTTCGAAAAAATTGTGTTTTGATTCGTCATCAAGTGTTGCTGTCAATCAGTGTTGTCATCAAGTGTTACGAACCCATAGAACGCAACAGTGTTATTAGTACAGTTCATCATGCTTTCCCAGTGTTTCTTACATTTATCTCATTATGTTTATCTGTTACTTATTATATTTGTCTTATTTTTGCTACATCAAAACTGATATTCTCAATTTAGTTTCTGAATTTAAAATTGTATTGAAATTATATTGTATTATCTTTTATGTTCTAACTCGTTATTTTTAATAAATACTAGATATGGTATGTAAGGTGTGATTGCACGATGTACTATAATAGCTAAAGTCTGAA